TCTTTGCAGCGGTTCTTCAGCAGTTGGACACGTGTTTGCGTTGGATCCTCCTCAAACCATCGTAAAACAAGTAAGCATGCCACCTGAGTTATTAATTACTGCTTTTTAACTAGAAAGTGTTACTTACTTTTCTTGTATTCACTGTTTTGAACGAAACATCGACATTTTAATGCATGCCAGCGCCATTACTGCTGTTAAAGTTAGACTCAGCCCTGTCGTGCTCATGTAGTCTATTTCTTCACGCAAAGTTGTTGGGCAAAGTTTGCATCAAGTGCTTACCGACGCAATTCTGTTAAAAGTGGTTAAGTTAAGAGTACGTATTAAGAAACAACTCCGCAAACTGTTCCCCTATGCCGCTCTATGGCGTTGGCCGGGCACCGTGATGCGGCCGCGGGGCTCTGAGGCTCTCCTGCCGTGCATGTTGTGCGGTAAAATACCTCCGTTAAAACTATTCCCTACTACTTTATAACCCAGCGGTTATGTAAGATAGACCCTCCAGAAAAACGCGATTATGCGATCGCATAATTTACCGCATAATCAGCAAAATGGCGCAGATTTTTAAAAGGGCGCATATTTATTAAAAGGTCGCATAATCCCCGCATTTTTCCACACAAAGTTGAGGGAAAAAAAAGTTAACGTGAAGTAGTGATGTCATCAGCTCGCGCAGGTAAACAACACCGTAGAGTGAATGTGTGGAACTCACACGAGAGAGGAAACAACAAGATCAGCGCCATATAGATTATTATATACTATTATACTATTATTATTATATACTATTATACTATTATACGGCTCTGACCAAGATGAAAAAATCGAATCCATCTCATTTGCCTACGAACATTTCTGCTAAAGACCGGGCAAAGCAGTACCCCGATATCTTGCACGAAAGTGGGGGGAAACTATTCTGCACCCCGTGCAACTGTGTGTTGGAGCATAAGAGAAAATCGACGGTGACGACCCACTTTGATTCATTCAAACATTCTAAAATGCTTTCTGCTGCTGCGGACAAGAAAGTCAAACAACTCACGTTCACCGAGGCATCAACCTCCAAAACCCTTTCGAGGGCTACAAGAAACGAGGTGAGTAGCCTACAAGATTGAAGCTGGTCAGATAACGAACGAGTAAATGAAAACAGAATGAGGCGGAGAAGAGTGTGTGTGTGTGTGTGTGTGAGAGAGTGATTAAAATAGCCCATATATAAATACATAAATAACACTTTGTGATGTAGCTTGCTTCTAGTATGCTTGTTTATCATAGGAACTCTTTAAAAGGGCTCACTTTCATTCAGTAGTAGCCTAGTAACAGGGTGTGGGAGAAGAATCACCTTTTTTCCGCCTCCCGCATATTTCGCAACTTTTCGCATATTTAGCATATTTCCACATATTTCGCAACTTCACCGCATAAAATCACATAAAAACCCCGCATGTTTAATCGCATAATCAAGGATTTTAGCCCGCATAATCAAGGATTTTAGCCCGCGTTTTTCTGGAGGGTCTAGTAAGAGTAAGTTACTAATGCGCCTATTTGATATTAATTCCTCTATATGTATTTCGCCGTTTGTTTTACTGTGAGCAATGAATTATCTTTCTACAATCTTAGTGTACCCAATTTAAACTCATAGTCTGCAGTTACAGCATCGAGTTGTTATTATACAAAATTAAGTGCAAACTATATTTGTCATGCTTATGCAACGCTATAGATGCAAATCCATGTTGGAATCTGCAGGAGAGTTAACGTTAGCTCTCAATAGAAAGTGACGGAGGTGACTTCAGTTAAGGTGCATTCAGGCGCAATTCAGTAAAAGTGTGTATTGGGCGAGGATGCATGTATAACGTCAGCAAGATGTGTTCACTGTAGTCCAGTAAAATGCAGTCTTTAGCGAGAAATATCAATAAATACAGTTTTATTAAGGAGATGTTTTACTACAACATAAAGTAGATATTAGACAGTATGCAAACGAGATAAAGGAGTGTATATGGAAGTAATTAGGATCCGCTGTGTAGAGAATCATCGAATTGTACTGGTATCTACCAATACTATCCTTAATAAATGCCATCCTTATAAATGTATATAAATACAATACCGTTTTAAATGATACTTGTGTTTTAATGTTTGATTCCATTAATTGAATTAAATATGTTTTAATGAATTCTACTGAAATTATTGTTACATTTTTATCATGTAACTATTTTGTTCTTTCATTTGCCTCACCAGAAAACAGTCACACCTCCTCTTGAAGACATTTTGCCTCCTGCTATGGACTTCAGGTTCACATTAGGTAAGCCCTTGAGTGTGTCAGACTAAAGTTGTTGTTTCAGAGGTTAATTCAAGACGTGTTATGTTTACATACTAATATAATGAGCTTCAGGTAAACGTACCCATTTCTATTTTTTTAATCACAGATGGGATGGAGATGTAAACTATGTGTGGCACCCCTGGGATGTGTGACCACATTAATATAATAAGTATTATATTTAGAGTTAGAATATGCCTTTATTTTGTACATCTGTTATTTTCATTTCACTAACGGGGTCGATAGATGCAGTGAGTAGTGAGGCGGAACGTTTGTGTTCGATTCAATGGTTCCGGGGTACCGATTAAAGCGACGGACGTTCCCGGGGTTTCCTCAGAAGTAATCTGGAAGGAAACTGAACACAAGGTGTCCTCATTACTTCTCTTTCACCTGCACGATACAGGTTGGTAAACTGTGCATAAATCACAATGAATCCCCCATAAGGTTTGCGAAGATAATATGTAACGGCCCGCTAACAGTTAGAAGACTTTGTACCGCTGTTTACACGTGTAAAACCGTTAAATGGTGTGAGTGTATTAGCCTAGCTTCCCCGGTACGGCGCCATTTTGGGGACAACGTGGTCTGACGCAGTAAGGATACAAGTTTGTCAGTATATCTGAAGCCTCCCGTACACTGAGTATTTACATGCATGTATAGTGATTGTGAGTTTGTAATAAATATGTACTTTGTAAGGGTTATAAGTTAGTTACTGTTGGTAAAACAGTAAGGTTGTTTGTTACACTTAAATATGTTTCAGTAATGCATTTTAGTGACCTTAATGGCAGAAGGTAAATAGTCAATATGACAGGTTAGAGGGGTCATGAAATACTACTTTTAAGTGGAAGTAAAAAAGAAGAGTAGTATTTAATACAGGTTAATACTGTATACAAATGTATTTAAGGTACAACAGATTTTATTGAATGTGAAATTCAATTCGACATATGTGTTTATCACATAAAAGAGTAACAGACAGACAGAGTGAAGGTATGTGAATGGTTATTGAGGAATGTAAGTCGAAACTGAAATGCATAAGATAATTGATATGTTTATATGATTTTGTGTAATAAAACAACCTCAGGAGAAGTAATCTGGAAGGAAACTGAACACAAGGTGTCCTCATTACTTCTCTTTCACCTGCACGATACAGGTATCATAACCGTTACTGTGGTCCTCATATCGGGGACCCGTAACATATGCAGCACTAGTGTCACCACTCAAAGTGATATTTTAAAACATTATCGACTCCATCATGGAACCTTTGGACAGAAACGTGCCTTGCCCTGCATTCATGTAGACTGGCCTGCGCGCTCACTTATCAAGATAAAAGTTGAAATAATCGTCTGTTCTTTTTATTCTAGGACCCATGTGCCACTTTATATAAATCTCTGAGCATGAGGTGGGGTTAAAAATAAGTAGTTGGACATTTTATGAACTATATCAATATCATGACTATTTGGTTCATTTTCTTGCAAACCAGCCTTTTTTTTGATGGCTTAAACCCCTTGTAATGCATGTGAATAGCACCTCTGTTACCGTCTGTTAACAGCTAATGTAAACTGGCTCGTTATGTTTTCAAGACGGATTTGATTTTTGTTTTGAGGAAAACACATGGTGTGTCCTGATTTGTACTAAATTTAGTGTTTTGTTTGTATTTACAGGAAACAGCAGAGGTCGAAGTGCAACAGGCTCGTGATGCACAGCATGAAGTTATACATTGCCCAAGAGCCAGATGCAGTTATAACCAGCAAGTAATAACCATGTGTCTCCATGTATGTTAATGTGTTGTGCTTTTAAACAAACTTGTTACTCTTTTATGACAACTGTTTTGAAATAATCACATTTTAATAAAATGTATTAACATGTCCATAACGTTCCCTTTTTTAATTTATTTGTTTAATCTTTCAATGCTATCAAATATTTAAAGGGTTGGATTGAAATCAGGAAGAGTTTGTCGTATATAGGTTCCGGCAACTCAATTGTGTTTTATAATTTACTTTATTCTCGTGTGGTTCTTAGCAGATTGTTATTTGCATTGGTTACACTTAATATCTGGGCTTTTAATTGTAGGCTCATCTCATCTTTTCATATGCAGAGAAAATCACATTAGTGAGTTTACCCAACTCCTATAATTGCTTGGAACCACTCGACACATATTTTTTAAGTTTTAGCAAAGTAACACATTCTTGAGTAGAGGAAAACTAAAAAAAGTACATTTCACCAACTCAAAAAATGCAAAAGTTGACTAAACTCTTAAAATTGCTTGGAATCACTTGACACATATTTTTTAAGTTTTACCAAAGCAACAGTTTTTACAGTGTACACAAACAATGCTATAAATCTATCTTTGTGCATTCATGTAGGCTACAATGCTAATGTTATTCATTTTCAATTCAATGACATGTTAATGAACTGTAAAAGTAAATAGGCTAGCTTAAATATGGGCTAGCTATCAAAGATCACAGCATGCTGCTAACCACATAGCTGATCAAATGAAAACCAAACAAAGTATTCAAGCTGTTATGATGAGCGGCTAACCTTGATGTGTCACATTAATTACAATGTGATTAATAATTGATAGCCGATGGGGCTGTAATTCACCGTCTAGACCGTAAAAGTTTAAGCCACAGAGACCCAAGCATGGTCTCCTACAGCATAAATAAACAATCTGGAATAACACATGATGAATATATAATATTTTAGGAATTACCTTGAGAGAGGACCCACTGATTGAGTTTGACGTGGTACAGCACAGAGCGAAGACTCCAGTGCTGAACCAGGGGGTAGCCAGACACCTCGCTGAAGTTCACCATACCTGCAACAACACACACAAAACACATGTTTTAATATGGATGCAGTGCTTGGTGCTTGACGGAAGCGTATGAAAAATCTACTATCAATGTGTTATTTACTCCTATAGCGGAGGAGATTGAAGATCAAAAGGCTGCTCTACATGTACATCTTATTCTTGTTTACTTTACCTGAAGATTTGTGAAGAATATTTGATCAATATGAAATATTATTTTAGATGACAGGAGAAGCAAGCCACTGTAAGTCTCCCGTGTTAGATCAAAGTGTTGCCTGATCTACAGAAAAAAGGCATCAAATAATACATATAATATATTCAGAAATAGTGGTATATTAAAAAGAAGGTAGAATTCTTAAATGTTTGATGAAAGCCAACATCTCACTTTTATATCAGACATGCATATCACAAGCATACAGATACCTTGTCCTTTTTAAGAAAGCATTGTCTGAATCTGGTGTTGACATCCATCACTGTTAATAAATAAAAAATATAAAATACAAAGAAATGTATCTTTCATTCTTCTTCAACATTTCACAGAGATCATGAAGTGATCAGCAAAGGAAAATGCTGTGAGACGGTAAATCGGCATAATAACTTCTCACAAAAAGAGCAGTGTTTTGTAAGTATTCAATTGTAATCACATGTATAATGTGTCACTATGACAGTGAGAGAATTGTGATTAATTCATTATGAGTAGTAATTAACTTGTTGTCGCAGCTTAGAACAACAATTTATGTTCAGAGAAAAACCAAGGCTGCTTCAAAGATATTTTGACCAAGTGCAATCTTCAGGGAATCTTTGTAATTTCTTCTTTATAATGATGTCTAGTTCAGGCTGTTCTCAAACACTGTGTGAAATCAGAAGTGATTTATTGTCATGTAACATTGATACTTCAGTCATTACTTCAGTAACTTAGTTCCTTAGGAGAGACATATTTTAGCTCATTTTCAGATTCCTATTTGGATTTTGTGTCTCTACATTGACATTTTAACATGCGGCAATTGTATGTTTGAAAAAAGGTCATGCCAATCCATCAAACAGTTAAAGGTCACCTATTATGGAAAATCCACTTTTTCCTGTCTTTTATACATAAACATGTGACCCCTCACATGATTCACAAGCAGATTCGCTCTCTTTTTATAAAAACCTGTCTGCAAATGTGCTGATCAGATTTTGGCCACTTTATGATGTCATAACGATTTTTTGGTTTGTGTAACCATTAGCCAATAACCAACCAAGGTAACACCCCCCACCTTATCACCTGAATCTCCTGGGGGGGGGGGGGGGGGGGGGGGGGGGGGGGGGGGGGGGGGTGTTATGCTGTGTTATGCTGTGTTATGCATGATACTCATAGAGCCCACAGAGATAAGCATGCACCTCGCGGGAGCGCGCACAGCGTAAAGCAAAAACTCCCATACATTTCAATGATCTCTACGGCTAAGTGCGGTTTGGAAACTATATAATTTCCTTTTGGAGGGCATGCATAACACGGCAAACACCAGAGCCTCGCTGCGGGGAAACTTTTGCGCTGTTCCGAGTTTGTTCTAATCTGTCAAAATGACAGACTGCTTTCAGATTTTCCCGTCGTTGTTAAAAAAAATATTCAGTTAACGCGACCACTGCTGTCCCAGCAACATCAGTACCAAGCGAGAGAGTTTTTTCCACAGCAGGGGATATTGTAAACGCCCAAACATCCCAGCTTCTACCTGGAAATGTGGACATGCTCATATTCCTAAAAAAAAACATGTCTGAAGATGCTGAGTGAGTTTGTGAGTTTGAGTTGAGTTAGTTGAAAAACTAAAGTGAAACTTGATTTATTTTATTGCAGGGTCTGATTATTCAATGTCCTTGTTTATTTGTGAGATGCAGTGGCACAAAGAAAATGCCTACTTTGTTTGGTACAAATAAACAGAATCACACGAAGCCTGGTTAGTGTTGCCTGACTTTATAAAGTGTGTTTTTTTTATAAGTGTGTGGTTGCGTTCTAGTCACTTTGCTCAGCGTTACTGCTTGTTACAACTTTTATTTGCCGTCCTCGCCATAAACTGTTAGCTCAGGTTAATCTCGCCCCCCTCAGATGTAAGCGTGACGTATGCGGTTCTTGCTTCTAAACCGACAATTTTTTCGAGCTTATCAGGCTCAAGCTCCGAACCGGACCTGGAACCGCATTGGTGTGAAAGGGGCATCAGAGGAGCGTGGGGAGTGGCTCCTTATTTTCATCTAAAGTAACAGACAGAGAATCAGCACTTTTGAAACAGGGCTGAAACAGAAGGGATTATGGGATGCTAAAATGGGTGATATGTTTGGTATTTAGAGGCAAACACTCCAGAGACATGTTTTTATATATCTGAGACCTATAATATATTGATGAAAAAGAGTATAATAGGAGACCTTTAAGATATTTCAGTATGGACCAGCAACGTGGTCAACCTGCAAACAGACAAACCATCTGAAAGACAGGCATTTCCATCCACTAGCAATAGCATGCTAGCCTTGACGGTGGCATACTAAATAAGGTGCGGAAAATAAACGTGGAGTTCCTAAAATGATGTGTCAGATACAAATTGATGCTGCTCACCTCATGTATCCTTGGGCTATGAACAATAATTAGGCTGCCACTCAAGTACGTGTCCCTGCCTCCTCAACCACAAAATATGTGTTAAGTTGTATTTGTTTAAAACTACGGACCCAAATCAAATAGAATAAAAAAGATTAGGAAGGTTTCTCTATTTGTCACTTGCTTCAGATTTGATCAATGCCATCAATCACGTTAGGCAAGGCAAATGTGTCTTTATAAAACATTTCATACAGTACACAAAGTTATGTATATGTATACAATTCAGCTGAGAAAAGACAATTATAGTGGTCTAACCTAGTGGAAATGAAAGCATGGATTACTTTCTCTAAATCCTGCTTAGACATTAATCATCCAATCATTGCTATGTTTGGAACAAAGGTAGAATGCAGACCATGTAATTGATTTAACATGGCTGTTACAGTTTAAAACTGAGTCCAAGATTATACTAATATTCCTGACTTGTACTTTTTGTTTTTAACCCTCAGCCCTTCAATTTTGTCTGCATTTAGCTTCAAAACATGTTGCAACTTACACATTATGTATCACTTGTATATGGACTCTTATGGCACTACTTATATTCTATTTTATTGTATTTACTTGCACTATTTGATCTGTTTTATTGTGTTGCACTGTTGGAGGAGCCTGTGACCTAAGATTTTCATCGACATAACTACACTGTAGCTACGAATCACAATAAAAGCCTTGAATCTTGAATCTTGTAAAAGGTCTGGGCGGCTGCAATTATCCATTTGTTCAAATCCCTTGACTCTGTGGGACTGTGTAGTTGCTTGGTGACAGAAGGTAATGTGGCTGATTGAAAGTAATCATGTGAGGTCAACAAGTGACGTAATTGCTGGTGGGCAACTTTTATAAATAATTTATACTCTTCTTATAAGGCTAGGATTGGTGTGTGGTTTTCAAGGCTTCAGGAAAATTACCTGATACAAGGGAGCTATTTGGCAGTTAATCTGTTGGCAAACACGTTTTGCAAAGGAGTGTGTTGGTAAAGCATCAACACAGCAGGTCTGCTGCTTAAGATTGATGAATAATGTCCTATGGAGTTCTGCCGTCAAAGGTATTACATTTTACCAAATTCCTTTAACGTAACAATGGATGGGAATTCATTTTTTCTACATGACATTGAACTATTAACGGCTGATTTAAAGGTAGGGTAGGTAAGAATGGAGAAACCAGCTCGAGTGCGCTAGAATTTGAAAGTACACAACCGGAAAAAATCTGCCCCTTCCTTCAGACCTCCTTACAGAGCCCCTCCTCCAACACACACGAATGCGCACATGACCAATGAGGGCATGAGATAAGTTTGTGCACGAGATGGAAGGCTGACAGGCAGGTAGGCCATCCAGTTATTTTAGCCGGGCCGGCTCAGATGATTGTTCGTGCTTTTTACAGTACTACGGCTTCCACAGATGACATTTTTGTATGTATTTATTGTCAAAGCATTTAATTTATTCATTGCTATCGGGATGTTAAGAGCATTCCATGGAATATAACAAAAAGTGTTTCTGAAGTGAATTACCTACCCCACCTTTAATATCATGAATTATGTAACTTAAGAAAGTGAACACATTGGAATTTAAAGGGGACCTATCATGCTAAATGCACTTTTTTATGTCTTTTATACATAAATATGTGTCCCCGGTGTGTCGGGGAACTCACGCAGCGTCAGAAAATAAAACCCTTTCTCTTTTCCTCCGTACCCAAATCTTTAAAAAACGGGGGTACAACGAGCCGATACAGATTTGCTGCCGATATGACGTCAAATCGGCGGCGGACCCACAGAAAGTTGTAATCAGAAACAATGCCTGACGTGTTTTGGACGTAATCTCATCTTTGTTTACATTAGCAAGCCTCGCTAACACTCAGAGCTAACCTGTACTGTGTAGAGCACATGTGTTTAAAAAGCAGGAAATAAAAAAAGGAACTCACCTTGTGATAAACCCGCAAGAGAAAAAGCATTTGAGCTCCAAACTGTTTCAGAAATAATCCTTGATGTGGTTTAGAACAGGATGGTGTTTTATCACAGCAGAATTTAACTTTATCTCCGGTAGAATTCTGATCAGGCATTAGCTCCGCCTTCTCTTTTTTTTTTTTTAAAGCTAAGGACCCAAATCCGCGTTTCTCTAACAGGGCTGCAAAAGAGGGGTATGAGCAGTATGAGGCATGGCTACAATGGGTGATCTGTTTGGTATTTTAAGCAAAACAATTCATAGACATGTTTTTATATATTTGTATATATCTGAGACCCATAATATATGCCTAAAAATAGCATGATAGGTGCACTTTAAGGGGAGAGGAGTTCAGATGTTTTTGGTGTAGAGGTGATTGATTTGGCTAGTATTGGCACTAAAAAGACCATGTACATTATTGGTATTGTTGCTAAAGATGTTAGAGAATAAATAATGATGTG